CATATTTTGAGAACAGCTAGTGTTGGTGAATAACATTATAATTTTCTGGCTTTGATACGATGGTGTTTTTACACCAATCAGATCGAAATCTAAGATTTTTACCATTTTACCACTCGCGTGAGGAAGCAATCGTCACCAGTTCACTTCAGCAACCCAACATTTGAATCCAATTAAACTCTAAATGTTACAGTTCCCACCAGTACGGTCCAGCACGAAGGGTTATAAACACCATACGATGTTTCTGCCCACATGGGCAGGTCATCACTTACGGGCCGAGACATTTATGTTGTGTTGTTTTTTCTTCTATGGACAAAAAAATTTTACAGCAGACAAAGAAAGAAATCTCCTGTTGTTACAGACAAAGGACGCAGTACTGACAGTGGTAACAAAGGATTTCAAACGTGACTTCATTTGTCGCTGTAACACCGTCGACCTCTCGACCGTAGATGCTGTGCTGATACCAGCGTCTGTCTCTGAGGTTTTTGTGTCGGCGTCTGATGAAATCTCTCCGCCACCACATGACGCAAGACTCCACTTCAAGTAGCTTGTTGCACCCGACATGGCAACAACGGAGCTGAAATTACCCAAAAATATTACCCACAAAACTGGGACCTATGAATATTCAGCACGCACACAAACAATGGCAGCGAAGGCAGGCGAGGGGGGTTGGGGGGGGCGAGGAGAGCACGTCTTGTTCTGTATCCGCTCTCACTTGAGGTTTGTGTTTTTGTGTGGAAAAAGTCTTCAAGTTGACATTTTTATCATGTCCCCTAGGGGGTTTCGAAGGTTTCGGAGGCAGGGATTATTTTTGTTAGGAATATTTCCATGATGGAGTTGCCTTTCTAACTTTTCCCAGGAATTCCGCGCTCATTTAGGGATGCATGATAAATTATGCCATTATTCTGACAGTGTGAGGAGGATGGCAGAGGAGGAATCTGCCTCACGGGCACGGAGTGATGCCGCATCACTTTGTGGAGTCTTACAAGGTCCGACTTTTTTTTCCCCCCCTTACTCTGTCTTGTCTCCTTCTCTCTGCTTTTTCTTGCAGACGCCACTCCTCCGTATCACTTTCCTCTTTTAGCCCCGCGTCCATCCTTCACGGCGTGTCCTCCCGTCCTGACAGCTCCGTCTCTGTGCCACAGCTGTGACCTTCTGTCTTCTCCAAACCCATATCAAAGGAAGGACTCGTCACATGTATGTAGACTCTGGGTCTAGGTCAGTGTTTTTCAAACCTTGGGGTCATGGCCCAACATGGCGTCGCCTGGAATTTAAATGGGGGGGTTGCCTGAAATGTCTACTAATTGATAAATAAATATATATATATATATATATATTGCACAATTTGGGTTACAAGCCGCAAAAAAGGTTGGAAACCATTGGTCTAAGCGAACCCAACAGCCGCATCCTTGTGACTAAATGACGTTTTAAAAAAAAAAAAATTCTAAATAATATTTTATACACCAACCAAACGTATTTAATTGATCGGGAAAACATTGGCCCCCCAGACCATATTTTTGACATCTCTGTGCAAGGAAAAACATCTCCACAAGAAAAAGAAAAAAAAAATCCGGATGAACAATTCCTGGCTCAGACGATGTAATTCCGTTAATCTTTAATTGGACTCATAAAGGACTGAACACCATTTCACTGGCATCGGTCTCAGCGTGGAGGATCCAGTCTGCCAGCACGAGACTGAAAGGATGAGAGAGGATTTTGGGGATGATGCCAAAGCAGTCTTGGAGGTCCTGGTGCAGAGAGAGCCCAAAACTAGCAGGGGGGAGGAGGCTAC